CCTCTAATCTGTCCAGGTCACTCTGGACCCTATCTCTGCCCTCCAGTGTATCTACCTCTCCCCCTAGCTTAGTGTCATCTGTGAACTTGCTGAAGATGCAATCCACCCCCTCCTCCAGGTCATTAATAAAGATGTTGAACAAAACCGGTCCAAGAACAGATCCGTGGGGCACTCCGCTAGAAACCGACCATCAACCTGACATCGAGCCGTTGATCACTACCTATTGGGCCTAACAGTCTAGCCAGCTTTCTATCCATCTTAAAGTCCATTTATCCAATCCATATTCCCTTAACTTGCTGGCAAGAATATTGTGGGAGACCGTATCAAAAGCTTTGCTAAAGTCAAGTTGTATCACATCTACTGACTTTCCCAGAGCCACAGAGCCAATTACCTCATCCTAGAAGCTAATCAGATTGATCAGACACGACTTGCCCTTTGTGAATCCATGTTAACTATTCCTGATCACTTTCCCCTCTTTCAAGTTCCTCAAAATGCATTCCTTGAGGATCCCCTCCATGATTTTTCCATGGACCGTTGTAAAGGCCAAAGGCTCTGCAATGACATTTGCCAACTCACTCAGTACCCTCAGATGCATTAAATCCAGGCCCATGGATTTGTGTATGTTTAGCTTTTCTAAATAGTTCCTATCTTGTTATTTCCCCATGAAGGGCTGTCCACCTTCTTCCTATACTGAGTTGCCTATAGTGCATTTGTCTGGGAACAGACCTAGTCCGTGAAGACAGAGGCAAAGAAAGCATTGAGTACTTCAGCTTTCCCCACATCATCTGTCACTAGGTTTCTTCCCTCAACCCATAAGGGCCCCACACCCTCTCTGATCACCCTCTGATTGCTAACACGCCTGTAGAAACCTTTCTTGTTATCATTCACATCCCTTGCCAGCTGCAATTCCAATTGTGCTTTCCTCTTCCTGATAACTCCCCTGCATTCTCAAGCAATATATTTATACTCCTCCCTAGTCACGTGTCCAAGTTTCCACTTCTTGTAAGCTTCCTTTTTGTGTTTAAGCTCACCAAGGATGTCTCAAGTAAGCCAATCTGGTCACCTACCATATTTGCTTTTCTTGCTGCGCATTGGGATGGTTTCTTTCTGTGCTTTCAATAAGGCTTCTTTAAAAAACTGCCAGCTGTCCTGGACTCCTTTCCCTTTCATGTAAGCATCCCAGGGGATCCTGCCCATCAGTTCTCTGAGGGAGTCGAAGTCTGCTTTTCTGAAGTCCAGAGTGTGTATTTTGCTACTCTTCTTTCTTCCTTTGGTCAGGATCCTGAAGGCTGCTATCAAAAACCCCCTCACTCTTCACTTCTGTTGACTAAACAAACACAAATCCCTCAGTCTCTCCTTGTAAGTCATGCACCCAAGCCCCTTTATCATTTTGGTGTTCTCCTCTGGACTCTCGCCCTTTTGTCCACATCCTTTCCAGTAGTGGGGAGCACAAAACTGGATGCAGTAGTCCAGATGTGGCCTCACCAGTGCTGAATAGAGGGAAATAATTACTTCTCTAGATCTGTTGGCAGTGCTGCTACCAATGCAGCCCAATATTCAGCTAACCTTCTGGCGAAAAGGACACACTTTTGAGTGATATCTAGTTTCTTATCTACTATAATCCCCAGGTCCTTTTCTGCAGAACTGTTGCTTAGCCAGTCAGCCCCCAGCCTGTAGCAGTGTTTGGGATTCTTCCATCCCAAATGCAGGACTCTGCACTTGTCCTTGTCGAATCTCATCATATTTCTTTTGGCCCAATCCTCCAATTTGTCTAGGTCACTATTCCTACCCTCCAACATATCCGTCTCTCCCCCAGCTTAGTGTCACCTGCAAACTTGCTGAAGGTGCAATCCATTCCCACATCCAGAGCCTGTTGAATAAAACCAGCCCCAAGATCAATCCTTGGGATGCTCTGCTTCATACTGGCTGACAACTAGACATCAGCCATTGATTTCCCATTGAACCCACTGATCTTGCCAGCTTTCTATCCACCTCATAGACCATTCACCCCATCTATACTTCTTAACTTGCTGGCAAGTATGCTCTGGGAGACCATTTTGAAAACGTAGCTAAAGTTAAGGAACGTCACATCCACCGGTTTCCTCATATCCATAGAGGCAGTTACCTCATCATGGAAGGCAGTTTGCTTTGTTAGGTATGACTTGCCCTTGGTGAATCCATGTTGACTCTTCCTGATCACTTTCCTCTCCTTCAGTTTTTTCAAAATAGACTCCTCCATGATTTTTCCAGGTGCTGTGGTGGGTCTGACTGGTCTATATTTCTGTCTGGTCTGTGGCTTATCTCAGGTCATATGAGATGAGTTGAGAAGGATTGCTTTGAAATACTCAAACCTCAGGTAACTCCAGAATTTCTGGTCTCTCTGGGTATGTCTACACTACAGCGCTAATTCGAACTAACGCATCCAGACTAAAAAACTAGTCCGAATTAGCATTTTGCTAATTCGAATTACCATGTCCACACAGAGTGGACCCTAAACTGGGGTTAAGGATGGCCGGAAGCAGTGCCGGCAGGGCATCAGATGAGGACTTAGAGCATGGAGCTGCTGTCTCAGGCTAGCCAAGGGCTGTGCTTAAAGGGACCCGACCCCCACCCCAGACAGACAGTTCTCAGGGGTGCCCCACTTGCAAAGCAGTCCTGGCTTGGAGTGCCCGGACTACCCACACTGGGCACATCACAGCACTCGGCCATCAGCCCGGCTGCACTTGCCGCAGGCTGCCATCTGGGGAGAGGGGGCAATTGGGGGGCTGCAGGAGAGCTTCCACCCCCAGAAGCCCGCAGAGCCAGCCCAGTCCTCCCCATCGGGGGCTCGTACCCCATTCCTCCCTCACCTCCTTCCACTTACCCATATGCAAACACTTGGAAGGTAATAAAGTGATAGGGAATAGCCAGCATGGGTTTGTGAAGAACAAGTCATGCCAAACTAATCTGATAGCTTTCTTTGATAAGATAACGAGCCTTGTGGATAAGGGAGAAGCGGTGGATGTCATATACCTAGACTTTAGTAAGGCATTTGATATGGTCTCGCATGATATTCTTATTGATAAACTAGGCAAATATAACTTAGATAGGGCCACGATAAGGTGGGTGCATAATTGGCTGGATAACCGTAGTCAGAGAGTTGTTGTTAACGGTTCTAAATCCTGCTGGAAAGGGATAACAAGTGGAGTTCCTCAAGGGTCTGTTTTGGGACCCGTACTGTTCAATATCTTCATCAATGATGTAGATATTGGGATAGAGAGTACGCTTATTAAGTTTGCAGATGATACCAAACTGGGTGGGGTTGCGACTTCTTTGGAGGATAGGGACATAATTCAGAATGACCTTAGCAAGTTAGAGAAATGGTCGGAGGTAAACAGGATGAGGTTTAATAGAGAGAAATGCAAAGTGCTCCACTTAGGAAGGAACAATCAGTTCCATACATACAAGATGGGAAGCGACTGTCTAGGAAGGAGCATGGCGGAAAGGGATCTAGGGGTCATAGTGGACCACAAGTTGAATATGAGTCAACAGTGTGATGCTGTTGCAAAAAAAGCAAATATGATTCTAGGTTGTATCAACAGGTGTGTTGTAAGCAAAACTCGTGAAGTCATTCTGCCGCTCTACTCTGCACTAGTTAGGCCTCAGCTGGAGTACTGTGTCCAGTTCTGGGTGCCACATTTCAAGAAAGATGTGGAGAAATTGGAAAGGGTACAGAGAAGAGCGACAAGAATGATTAAAGGTTAAGAGAGCATGACCTATGAAGCCAGGCTTCATGAACTGGGCTTGTGTGACGGCGCGTTGGGGGTTCCCCGTCTCCTGCACCCCGAAATGGCACAAACAGACTGCACCAGCCAGTGGAATTGAGGGTGGTTTATTGCTCCTCCAGCACAGCGCAGCACAGATGTAATCTGGTTACAGGAACTGGGCTAGGATGCCTCAGGCCCCCTTGAGATGGGGGAGACTGGGCCCCTAAACTCCAGCCCCTTCCCCTAGGCTCTCCTCCATGCTCTTCCACAGTCTAACTAAATTCCCCTCCAGCCCTGCCCCCGCAGTCAGGGCAGCATTCCACCTTCCTTTGTTCCTCTCCATGGGGGGTGTCTGGCCACTGGTTCAACCAGTTTGGCCTTATCTCTGCCTAGCCAGGTTTTCCCTGCTGGGTCTTGCTCCAGACAGCAGGGGTCACCACAGCCCAGCCAGGTACCCCCACTACGTCACAGTTGGTTAGTTCGAATTAACTTTGTAGTGTAGACATACTCCCTCTTAGCTTTCCTTCCCTGGGAGACCCAAGACAATGATCATTTTTAACATTGAGTAGATTGCCACCACCCTTTAAGCTGACAATACTCCAACCCAGAAGTTGCACTCTGTGGTCCTAGAGAAGAGACAGGATACACTTATTCACAGTATCTTTCTCATAAGCTGTGATTTGTAGCCATAATCTTTTGAAGAAACTTTCATTAGAGTTACTGTTTGATGCATGTGAATTTAAAGCAAAAATGTTCAAAGATTTACTGCTCAGCACTTACAAACACTACCAGGTTCACTGGGAAAGTCCAATTAATATCAACAAAGAAAATCACTACATGGTTTTTATTTGTACTATGGCAGCACTTAGACTTGGAAGCCCCTTCTGAGGTCAGAGCTTCATTGTGCTCTTTTACTCCTGCATGGTGAAAGACTGCCCTGGCCTGAAACAGAGCTGAAGTGACTTGCCCAAAGTCACATGCAGTGAAAGAGCTAGGAATAGAACCAATGGCTCCTGGCCTCCAGTTGAGTATTTTATCTACTAAATGGTGCTTGCTTCGCTGTTGTTTGGTGAAAGCAGGCCTTCCGTGACAAGTAATTAAATAGAGTGAGAGAGCATAAGACTAATGTAAAAATGACAGCAGGTGACTGCCAAGACTGTGATTGTGACATAAACAAAGAAATCTGCCAGCTTTATTTCCCAGTTGTATTAGAACCCCCGAGTTTTGTTGATTTGTTTTGAATTGTCTTTTCAGTATCTCTTTTTGGTACGGAATGAGATGACAGTTTCCCAGAAGCACCTTGGGGAATTCTGCAGCTCCCTTAAGCAATACCTGAAGAATGTGGCAGGACAGAGAGACTGTTTCCAGTAAGTATGCTTCTCCACCTCTGGGAGTGATTGTTTCAAAGAATATGTCTCTTCCAAGTTTAACACATAGGCAGTGTCTACATTGGCACCCCTTTCCGGAAAAGTGATGCTAATGAGACCAGTCGGAATTGCAAATAAGGGATCTTCCGGAAAAGGGCTTATTTTCCGCAAGATCCCGTCTAGACTGGCGCTTTTCTCTGGCAAAACCCCGAGCTGGAAAAAAGCAGCAGCCATGTTCATGCAAATGCCGCGGGGGATATAAATCACCCGCAGAATTTGCAATTCCGACTGGTCTCATTAGCATCCCTTTTCCGGAAAGGGGTGCCAATGTAGACACAGCCATATTGCTTTAGGTACTTAAATGCCTACAGCTTTGCCAATTACAAATGGCATGTACAGAACACAGCTCTAGGTGTGGTCTGCAGACAGCCTGAATCAAACCCCCAGATTCAATAACCCTCAAAACTGTGCAGAAAGGGGCAAGGACAATTTGAAATGGAAACCTGGATCAGTGTCCAAATTATGTCTTTATAATGGCTCCGCCCACAGCCCCAGATCAGAAATCTCACAATTTAAGGGTGCTCAGAACCGTAATGGCTGTTTCTGTGTGAGCCCTCCTTTGATGTAATCCAGTAACTGCTGCTTATCTATGTGCGTACAGCAGTCTGTTCAGCGAGGGCAGACCATCAGGGATAGGGGCCCACAATGGAGTCTGTGTTCTAAATGGTGGATGGGGATAAGGGCATGTGTCAGAGCCTCTCAGAGCTCAGTAGAAGAAAAAGCAGTGAGAGTTAAGATGCTCGTATCTGAACACACAAGAGCCAAAGCAGAGTTGAGGGGAGCCATTTGCTCTGCAGCAGGCGTATTAGGTGGGGGCTTTCCCATGCAATTCCCATCCCAGAAGGTGCCAGTGAATGATGTGAAGTCAGTGAATGGGAGCTCCTGGGACAGACTTATTAGCTCATTCGGAGCAAGGTTTTCCACTTACCCCCCCAAATAGACGACTCAGACGCAATCTCTGCTCTGATTGGATGTATCTGATCTCTCCCCAGGCCTTGGGCAGGCAAACCTGATAGTCTGTATTTTGCCTTCTGCTAAACTATTTAATGCTCACGCACTGAGGAAGACACAGCAGCTTTGTGAGTCTAGCTCCACATTTCAGGCAGCGCTGAGTTAGTGCAACAAGTTCACAGCTGGCTGTTTATACATTATGTCTGTTCACTATGGGGCATGACCGTGACGGAAACTTTTGAATCCTTTGTGCTCCAGCGTCAGTCTCCATGGTGGGCTCAGATAGAGGCCACTAACTTGTGAACCTGTGAGGTGAAGAAATCCTGAATCCAAGATCCAGCACTGTGCTGTATAAGCCTTTGGTCTTGATCCTGAAATGTGCAGAATGCCCTCAGCTCCCATAGTTGGGAGTGGGATTTGTGGCCTGGCAGAGCATTTCAGTATCAGATTAATCATTATTAGTGTCAGGTCTGATGTGAGGAGCCGGGATTTGTGGCACTTCTGGCTGCTGCGTGTCATGACAAGTCATCGCTTGCTGCCCCCAATCCAGGAGTGAGGCTAGAACAGCTTGTCTTGCCTAGGACACATTTGTGTTTCCTTTTCATTTCTCTCTCTCATCCTTTTCAGTGTAACTGCAGTGAGGCTCCCAGACGGAGTCACGTTCATTGTCTATGAGTTCTGGGAGTCTGAGGAAGACTGGAAGAGGTAGGGTACAACATTTAATTTTACAGGTTAAAAGTTACACACCACAAATGGGCCTAATCTGCAGCCTGGGAATGATACAGCCTCCTTGGGTTGTGGCTTAGGACCCTCCCTTTTCTGTAGATGTACACATATCGGAGGGGGGAGGTGTTTGCATGTGTTTGTGTGTACATGGATGCAAACATTTCATACTACATGAAAATCTCTTCCTAGCAGTATCTCAAAGTTCACTGTTGCTGAAATGGTTTTTGACATTCATTTTCCTTTTCATTTGGTTGGATGGAAACTGTTTCAAGACTAGATTTTATGAGCTCACTCATCAAAGCCAGGCAAGTGCCCTAGCCCCACAATCCCCTAGAGGCAGAGGTGCTGTGAGCAGGAAATGCAGCACTAAAATGTATCGTTTAGAAAGAGAGGACTGGAGGGGTGAGCAATCAAAACAATACTGAACAATACTGACTCTCAGACTCATAGAACAGTACTGACACTCAAAAGAACGGCTGTAGACTGTCTTGCATGACCATATTGTGTGAATAATAAAATATAACCATGTACTCCTATGAGCAGCAGGTACAGGAACCCACAAGGGGAGAGGCAATTCTCGATTTAGTCCTGAGTGGAGTACAGTATCTGGTCCAAGAGGTAAACATAACAGTAAATAGTGACCATAAAATAACAACATTTAATATTCCTGTGATGGAATATGGAACACCACAGCAGCCCAACACTATGGCATTTAATTTCAGAAAGGGGAACTATGCAACAATGAGGAGGTTAGTTAAACAGAAATTAAAAGGTACAGTGACTAAAGTAAAAGCCCTGCAAGCTGCATGGACACTTTTCAAATACACCATAATAGAATCCCAACTTAAATATATACCCCAAATTAAAAAACACAGTAAAAGAACTAAAAAAGAACCACTATGGCTTAACAATCATGTAAAAGAAGCAGCGAGAGATAAAAAGGCATCGTTTTAAACGTGGAAGTCAAATCATAGTGAGGTAAATAGAAAAGAGCATAAACACTGCCAAATTAAGTGTAAACATGTAATAAGAAAAGCCAAAAAGGAGTTTGAAGAACAGTTAGCCAAAAACTCAAAAGGTAATAAACTGTTTTTTAAGTACATCAGAAGCAGGAAGCCTGCTAAACAACCAGTGGGGCCCCTGGATGATCAAGATACAAAAGGAGCACTTACAGACAATAAAGTCATTGCAAAGAAGCTAAATGAATTCTTTGCTTCAGTCTTCACAGCTGAGGATGTTAGGGAGATTCGCAAACCTGACCCATCCTTTGTAAGTGACAAATCTGAGGAATTGTCACAGATTGAAGTGTCATTAGAGGAGGTTTTGGAACAAATTGCTAAACTTAACAGTAACAACTCACCAGGGTCAGATGGCATTCACCCAAGAGTTCTGAAAGAACTCAAATGCGAAAATGTGGAACTATTAACTATGGTTTGTAACCTATCCTTTAAATCCGCTTCTGTACCCAGTGACTGGAAGATAGCTAATATAATGCCAATATTTAAAAAGGGCTCTAGAGGCGATCCTGACAATTACAGAACAGTAAGTCTAACATCAGTACCGGGCAAATTAGTTGAAACAATAGTAAACAATAAAATTGTCAGACACATAGAAAACATAATTTGTAGGGCAAAAGTCAACATTGTTTCTATAAAGGGAAACCATTCCTTACTAATCTATTAGAGTTCTTTGAGGGGGGTCTATAAACATGTGGACAAGGGGGATCCAGAAGATATAGAGCACTTAGATTTCCTGAAAGCCTTTGACAAGGTCCCACACCAAAGGCTCTTATGTAAATTAAGTTGTCGTGGGATAAGCCATAATCTTTAAAAAGTTGTGAAGATTGGGAGAGATCCCGGATGATTGGAAAAAGGCAAATGTATTGCGCATCTTCAAAAAAGGGAAGAAGGACGATCCAGGGAACTATAGGCCGGTCAGTCTTACCTCGGTTCCTGGAAAAATCATGGAAGGGATCCTTAAGGAATCCATTTTGAGGCACTTGGAAGAAAGGAAAGTAATCAGGAATAGTCAGCATGGATTCACAAAGGAAAAGCCATGCCTGACCAATCCGATTAGCTTCTATGATGAGGTAACTGGCTCTGTAGACATGGAAAAGTCAGTGGATATGATATACCTTGACTTTAGCAAAACTTTTGATATGGGCTCCCACAATATTCTTGCCAGCAAGTTAAGGGAATGTGGATTGGATAAATGGACAGTAAGATGGATAGAAAGCTGGCTAGAAGGCCAGGACCAGTGAGTAGTGATCAATGGCTCGAGGTCAGGATGGCGGTCGGTTTCTAGCGGAGTGCCCCAAGGTTTGGTTCTAGGACCAGTTTTGTTCAGTATTTTTATTAATCACCTGGATGAGGGGATGGATTGCACCCTCAGCAAGTTTGCAGATGACACTAAGCTAGGGGCAGAGGTAGATACGCTTGAGGGCAGAAATAGGGTCCAGAGTGACAGACAAATTGGAGGATTGCGCCACAAGAAATCTGATGAGGTTCAACAAGGACAAGTGCAGAGTCCTGCACTTGGGACGGAAGAATCCCAAGCATTGTTACAGGCTGGGGACCAACTAGCTAAGTAGTAGTTCTGCAGAAAAGGATCTGTGGGTTACTGTGAATTAGAAGCTGGATGTGAGTCCACAGTGTGCCCTTGTAGCCAAGAAGGCTAATGGCATATTAGGATGCATTAAGAGGAGCATTGCCAGCAGATCCAGAGATGTCATTATTCCCCTTTATTCGGCTTTGGTGAGGCCACATCTGGAGTACTGTGTCCAGTTCTGGGCCCCCCACTACAAAAAGGATGCGGACGCATTGGAGAGGGTCCAGCGGAGGGCAACCAAAATGATTAGGGGTCTGGAGCATATGACCTACGAGGAGAGGCTGAGGGACTTGGGTCTGTTTAGTCTGCAGAAGCGAAGAGTGAGGGGGGACTTGATAGCAGCCTTCAACTTCCTGAAGGGAGGTTCCAAAGAGGATGGAGAGAGGCTGTTCTCAGTAGTGACAGATGGCAGAACAAGGAGCAATGGTCTCAAGTTGTGGTGGGAGAGGTCCAGATTGGATATTAGGAAAAACTATTTTACTAGGAGGGTAGTGAAGCATTGGAATGGGTTACCTAGGGAAGTAGTGGAGTCTCCATCCCTAGAGGTGTTTAAGTCTCGGCTTGACAAAGCCCTGGCCGGGTTGATTTAGATGGGATTGGTCCTGCCTAGAGCGGAGGGCTGGACTTGACGACCTTCTGAGGTCTCTTCCAGTTCTGATTCTATGATAAGGGGATGGTTGGATGAAATAACATGATCTTGGTAACTAATTGACCATTCATTTCCAGTTGGAAATAGGTCAATGGAGGGATGATAGGAGTTGCTATAGGGAACTTTCTGGGTGTCTGGCTGGTGAGTCTTGCCCACATGCTCAGGGTTTAGCTGATCGCCATATTTGGGGTCAGGAAGGAATTTTCCTCCAGGGTAGATTGGCAGTTCAGTATCCTGGTTGAAAGACAGGAAACAAAGGGTACTACTAAATGGTAAATTTTCAGAATGAGAGGGGTAACTAGAGGTATTTCCCCCAAGGGTCAGTCCTAAGATCAATCCTATTCAATTTATTCATAAATGATCTGGAGAAAGGGGTAAACAGTGAGGTGGCAAAGTTTGCATATGATACTAAGCTGCTCATGATAGTAAAAGACCAAAGCAGACTGTGAAGAACTTCAATAAGATCTCACCAAACTAAATGATTGGGCAACAAAATGGCAAGTGAAATTTAATGTGGATAAATGTAAAGTAATGCACATTGGAAAAAATAACCCCAACAATACATACAATATGATGGGGGCTAATTTAGCTATAACTAATCAGGAAAGAGATATTGGAGTCATCATGGATAGTTCTCTGAAGACTTCCACACACTGTGCGGCGACAGTCAAAAAAGCAAACAGGATGTTAGGAATCATTAAAAAAGGGATATAGAATAAGACAGGGAATATCTTATTGCACTTATATAAATCCATGGTACGCCCACATCTGGAAGACTGCATACAGATGTGGTCTCCTTATCTCAAAAAAGATATAGTGGCATTAAAAAAGGTTCAGAGAAGGGCAACTAAAATGATTAGGGGTTTGGAATGGGTCCCATATGAGGAGAGATTAAAGAGACTGGGACTTTTCTGCTTGGAAAAGAGGAGCCTAAGGGGGGATATGATAGTGGTCTATAAAATCATGACTGGTGTGGAGACAGCGAAATAAGGAAAAATTATTTACTTTTTCCCATAATATAAGAACGAGGGGCCCCCAAATGAAATTAATGGACAGCAGGTTTAAAACAAATAAAAGGAAGTTCTTCTTCATACAGCATGTAGTCAATCTGTGGAACTCATTGCCTGAGGAGGTTGCGAAGGCTAGGACTATAACAGGGTTTAAAAGAGAACTAGATAAATTCATGGAGGTTAAGTCCATAAATGGCTATTAGCTAGTATGGGTAAGGAATGGTGTCCCTAGCTTCTGTTTGTCAGAGGGTGGAGATGGATGACAGGAGAGAGATCACTTGATCATTACCTGTTTGATTCATTCCCTTTGGCCCACCTGGCATTGTCCACTGTCAGCAGACAGGATGCTGGGCTGGCCCAATATGGTCATTCTTATTTTCTTATGTTTTTACTGAATGTCTAATACAACACCCTTTTGAGGTGTATTTACTCACAGAAATACTCAGTAATTGGTAGATATTTGGAACATTTCTCCTCACCCTCAAAATCTGTGTCTGGTGTATTCAGTGCTCTGTTGCTATACCTGTCACTGTTGCATGCCTCAGCTCACCCCAAATCTCCCTGTGGCATTGGCATCTCCCCATTGTACAAGCTGCTCTCACAGCCATGCTGCATGAAAGGGAGGGTGGCTTCTGGCCTGGGTGGCTGCACCATCATTTTAATAACAAGAAGTGCCATCAATCACCCATCCCTTGTTAACAGGAAAGTTGAGG